CAGGAGCAGCCACTGCACTCCAGTCTGGGTGACAGAGTGAGACTCCAACTCAAAAAATACTTTGGGAAGCTGAGGGGAAAGGATTGCCTAAGCCCACAGGCTCGAGACCTGCCTGGGCAGGTGAGACCTCATCTCTACAATAAATAAAAAAAATTAGCTGGGCATGGCAGTGAATGCCGGTAGTTCCACCTACTTGAAAGGCTGAGGAGGAGGGATCACCTGAGCTCAGCAAATCGAGGCTGCGGTGGCCAAGAGCGTGCCACTGCACTCCAGCCTGAGCCACAGAGTGAGGCTTCAACTCAAAAACAAAACAAAATGAAAGACACCTTCATAGAGTAAGTATAGGGACTCACTGACTGGTGAGGGGATAAATCTCATGATGCACAGGGTATTTTTTCTTTAAACACCTCTATATCATCCCTGTATGTACAGGAAAAGAGGTGGAATTGTGGGGGATAATTAACATCTAATGCCATGCTTTTTCTAAATTATGAAGTATTTCCTGTTTGCCCCATGTGCCTGGCACCAAACCAGCCAGATGGAATACTGCACAAGCAGCCAGAAAATGTAGAAGATCAAGTTGGGGTCTAGAGAATTAACCTTTGCTGAGGAAAGGGCATCACCCGCCTGGTTCTGGTATTTCTTTTCAGGCCCAGCGCCACTCTGTGAATGAGACAGCGTGGAAGACAGTAGCCCTCAGTGTGAGAGGGAAGGTGCATTTGCAGGATGCCTTCTTTCCTCTTTAACAAAACACACTGTACCCATCAGGTGCAGGTACCTTAGGTGCTGAGACAAGAGAACCAGGTGTTTGACCCTCACAGGTTTATCTTCCAGTCGAGGGACACACAGCCAAAAGGGTATGTAATATAACAAAGCAGCCCAAGGGTGGGGAGTGAGAGGGCTTCTCAAGGAGGGCTCTGTGCGCCTCCTCGGTCCCTGCAGGTAGGCCCCGGGTGGGAAAAAGCAGTGCATTCCAGCGTTTAGGGAGCCCCAGCCATGAGGAGGTGGCCAGTAGGGAGAGGTTCCCACCCGGGAAAGGAGCGCAAAAGAGGGGTTTCTGCGCCTGAGGGTTTCCCCATGTCGGCTGCTCTATCCGGGTTTCCTAGGGCGTGGCCAGGAGAATGGGGAGGGGGCGCCTCGGTCCCGGCAGAGTACATGAGTGACATAGAGAGAAGGGATGCCGGGAGCAGTGGCGAGGAGGAGGCGCCCTGTCTCCCCAAGGAGAAAAAGGGATGGAGAAGGCCGAGAGAAGGGGCGTCCTGCTCCCCAAGAAGCGGAAGCGCAGGACAGCGCGTGGGGAGGGATCCCGGGAAGAGTTGGAGAGGAACACGGTCGAAAGGAGGAGGCGATCGGGTAGGGGGAGCAAGTACCTCTTGCGCCGGTCTTTTCCCAGCACTTCTCCTCCCTCCCTGCGCCCCTCCCTTCCGCACCCCATTTGCTGCAGCGCGCGCGGGAGCCGGGAGGAGGCGCCGGAGGTGAGGCGCGGCCTCCCCGGCGAGGCGGGGGATTCAAGCGCGTTATAAGGCGCGGATCCGGGGAATCCCGAGCCGCCCCGCTCAGGTCCGCGAGGGACCAGTCGCCCGCATGGCCCCGCCCCGCTGCCCCGACGGAGCTCTCCTGCTGCTTGTCTACGCGGGCCTGCTGGCCGCAGCCGCGGGTCTGGGTTCCCGGGAGCCCAGTGCGCCCACGGGGAGCCACCCTCGCGAGGAGCCGTGGCCCGAGGAGGAGCTGCCCGCGGGCCCCGGGGAGGGCCGCGCGGGGCCGACCGCCCACCTGCCGGTAAGAGCCCGGGCCCGCCCCTGGGACCCACCGGAGCCCCGCACCCTCTGCAGTCCGGGATCTGCTCTCGGGGCAGTGGGAAGCGCAGCGCCTGCGGGACCTGGGTTGACCTGTCTCCTCCACCCGAAGTGCAGATGCACCCTAAAGTGCAGATGAAACGCCCAGATAGGATCGTGTAGACGTCGCCCTCTGCACTGCGGGTTACTGCTAAGGACAGCTTTGACCTTGGCTTTTGGGGTAGTTCTTCGGCTTAAAGCAGAAGTCTTCTCTGCCTGCAAAAACGCCACCTTCTTTGAGGGAAAGAAGGAAGTTGGAAAACAAAATGTAGATAACTTGATTTGATGAACTTGGAAAGAGCGTATGGGAAAAGTGCAGGCAAATTACCGATCACCCATCTAGTTGATGCAGTTCCCTCTGAAAAAGTGTTTCCCTGTGGGCTTGGAAACGGGAGGTGTTCAGGGCCAGGAACGACTGTGGCTTTTTCTCAAGTGATTTCTGGCGGCCTAGGGCTGACTTTCAGCTCTGCCCTGCCCCTTTCTTCAAGACTCCCTGGGTCTTGGAGCCTGAGCTGCTGAGCAGAGGGTGGGTAGGCTGGGAAGGGTGTGGCCATGGGTCTGGGGAGAGGAGGGTTTGTTGGCACTTCAGAGGAGCCTCAGTGTGGTGTGGTGGGGCTCTGGGAGGTGAGAGTGCCTCAGGGAAGCTCTCTGGGGTTCATTTATTCTGAAGGTTCTCTTGAGCAGTACAAAGGGAAGAGCTCCTCTCGGACCTCAGACTAGGGAGAACCAAGAATGCATTCTTTAGAGAGGGACGGAGGTGGCAGCTAATCTTAGGGGACCCCCAGCGTCCTCCATCCAAGCCTCGCCATCCTTAGCCACTGTCCATGGACTAAAGGCAGCCTCCTTACCCCTCAGCAGGCACCAAACCACCCAGGCGGGCAAGGCAGCCAGATGTCAGGGAACCAGCAGCAGGAAGCAGAGAGGGGGCTCGGGTGCTTCCAGGTGGGGTTTTGGCTTTGAACCCTCTCTGGAGGAGCCAGGGTGGCACTAGAGCCCTACCCCCTTGCTTCTGGGCTCCAAGGCTCCTTTCTGAGAGAACTCTCATGGCTGGAGCCAGGGCCACTGCCCAAGACGCACCCACATTACTGCATATCCATGTCCTGGGACCCCAGACTGACACGGCTCCTCCTATTTCAGCTCTACCCCTAAACCAAACTGGGTCCGAGTCTATCCACAGGCCCCAGGTCCAGCCGGGAGGGGACTCCAACCTGGCCTGAGTGCCGAATCCTCTTGTATGTTTCCACCAAGGGCACCATAAGGCTGCCAGGATCCTGGTGTCCTTGGACAGCAGCTTGCAGGTGGCACAGGGTGAGGATGAGGGCCCTTCACACCCTGAGGCCTTTCTCCATCCAGCCTCAAGGCTTCTCCAGCACTGTCACCTCCATATTCTCACCATGGTGTCCTAACCTGTGCATTTGTCAGCCAGCTCCCTGGGTCCTTGCAGAACAGCAGGGAAACCACGTGGCAGCCGTTTGGCTGATAAAAGGGCCTGGCCAGCTCTAAAGTCCCAGAGTCCTTCCATCAACCACCAGTGTCAGTGCCCATGACCTCATCTAAGCCCACTTGGGCCAGTTTCCTTCCCAGTTGGCAGCCTTGCCTGGAGCCCCGACTGCCAGGGCCCACTGCCCAACAGGCCAAGGGCCTCTTCCTAAAGCCTTCCTCTTAGAACTTTGCTCAGTGTCAGAACCGGTCAGAATGCAACATGCATGAAATATTTCTGGATATTGGAATGAATATTTCTGGAATGGGTATTTCTGGAAGCATCACTGTCTTTGCTTGGCCCAGTGTCTCAGACGTGCTGAGAAAGTAAACGTCTCACACAGAAGCTTGAGTCATAACATCTCATCAGGCCCCCTACCTTCCTCCCTGTGAACTGTACCCTGAGGGCTCAATTTGCCTGCTTAGAACTTCTGACCATGGGAGGTAGACAGGAGGGTGGGTTGGTAGTTGGGATCCAGATAATCACAGTTGCCTTTTCCTGAGCACCTATGAGTGCTGTGGTGGTCAGATCCTCCTGGTGACTCTGGAGGACAGAGTAATCACTCCAGCTCATCTTGAGGAAGGAAGCTGGATGAGGACTAGCAGCCCAGTGGGGCCAGGATTCAGACCTGCTGCTGAGCTCTGCACCCATCTTCCTTCACCTGCATTCTGGGTTCACTTCTTCCATGAGTGCAAAACGCAGGTCAAGGTGTGGCCTGTTTCCTAGGAGTTGTCCTCCGTGGGCCAGGAGGAGAGGGGAGAAAGGAGACTGTGCTGCTTTTGAGGGTCCCACTGGTGACAAGGACCAGCCGAAGGCCAGTCCTGCACATGGTCACATCCTGCAAAGCATCCCACTGCTCTCACTGGGTGAGGCAAACCCACCTGCTGGGCTGGCTGTGTTCCAGGAGCCCACGGCTGAGTATGCACGCAGCATCGACGCCCAGACAGCCCGGGAAGCCTGGATGTTTTTCATCCGGCAGAGTGACAAGGGTGTCAATGGCAAGAGGAGGAGCAAGGGCAAGGCCAAGAAACTGCAGGTGAGCAGGGCGTCCCCGTCCTTGTGAGTGTAGGGAACTCCACCTGCAAGGCCTCCACTACCTCACTCCTCGCTTGCTCCCACTAGTCACGTGTCCTCATGCCTCGGCCAGGGAACGGAAAACACAGAGAAAGCACCAAGTCAGGGCTGGAGGACCTCAAGTTAGGAGCCCAGTCCCAACCATTTACCCCACACCCCTAGAATGCCAGACAACCTGACAACTCCTCGTTTCTCCTCCCTCTGTGTCCAGTGAGGAAAGCTGGGCTGGTCCAGTCTGGTGGTAAGAGTGCCTTGCCCAGCCATCTGTGGCACAGGCTGGAGGGGCCTGCAGACTGGCCACAGTGACAAAACAGTCTGGTTCCCAAAGGGTGGGGACACAAGGGCCCTGGCAGTTGCTGGGCACTCACTCTCACTCAGCCTTGGGCCTGGCCTGAGCAGGGATTAGCACTTCATTCTGATGACTGACTCCTGCTTTGGGCCCATCTGGGTGACAGGCTTCTCTGTCCACCAGAGGGCTAGCATCACCCCATTTCAGATCTGACCCATGATGGAATGCCAACTCCAAGCCCATGAAACCTTTGGGATGGCTGGGCTGTCACCACGGCCTTGCCCCCCCTCCACTGGAGACTCCCTGCAGGGGCCTGACTTCCTCCTGTCTTGGGTCATAACCTAACTCAGCTGGGACTTTCTGATGTCAGCTGACTCCTGCCCAGTGCCACAGAGGCAAAGCTCCCCAAAAGCAGCCTGGAGTCTCTCTCCCTCCAGGAGACCCAGGCACAGGGGTGGGCTGCAGCCATCTGCTTCCTCACTCAGAGCCCTTTCCTGCCCAGGCTCCGCCCCAGGGTGTCATCACCCCTGCCAGTCCCCCACCTCCCACATAAGCCAGTCCTCATGCTCACCCGGGGCGATGCCATGGTGTCCAGCCTGCCTCCTCAGATGTCCTCACTGCCAAAGTTCCCTTTCAGTTCGGCTTGCCAGGGCCCCCTGGGCCTCCTGGTCCCCAGGGCCCCCCGGGCCCCATCATCCCACCTGAGGCTCTACTGAAGGAGTTCCAGCTGCTGCTGAAAGGTAGGGGTACGCACCGCCACTGGCACACGTCTCCATCCAGGTGTGAGCAGGGCTGGGGAGGGTGTACCCAGAAGCCAATATGGGGCAGACCTCAGCACTTCAGCAAGCACCCAAGGAGGCATTCACTGTGCTGGACTCAAGGACGATGGAGCTGGCCTGGGCCCTGCCCTGCCCTGGTTCAGCCGGTGTCTGCCAAGAGTCAGGGGCTGGGAGGGGAGGTGGCTCGGTCACTCAGTATGGCTGGTGCTCAGGGACCAGCACTCATGCCTGGGGGTCAAGGAGCCCAGAGAAAGCCAGGAGACCAGAACCACAGGGTCCCGTGGGAGGGCAGGAAGGCTAGTGTATGGGGCAGCACGGAGCGGAGCGGGCCTGGCTCTCATAGTCACCACCTGGCCCGGGCTGGGGCAGCCTGAGCTGGAGGTTGCAGAGGGAGGCGCAGAGCTGAGTCCAGCTGTCGGAGGATGACTCTGTGCTGAGGCCAGAGCAGGGGTGCGCATCATTTACTAGAACTGTTTTAACGTGAAGCACTACTGAGTGCGCCCCTTTCAATTCAGTGTCCCTTTCACTTAAATATACCGCCCTAGCCGGGCTCGGTGGCTCAGTCTGTAATCCCGCGCTTTGGGAAGCTGAAGTGAGTGGATTGCCTGAGCCCCAGGTTCGAGACCCGCGTGGGCAACTTGGTGAGACCTCATCTCTACAATAAATAAAAAATTAGCCAGGTGTGGTAGCGCGCGACTGTAGTTCCAGCTACTTGGAAGGCTGAGGCGGCAGGATCACCGGAGTCCAGCAGGTCGAGGCTGCAGTGGCAGGGAGCGGCCACTGCACTCCAGTCTGGGTGACA